GGGACACTGGGGATACTGGGGACACTGGGAGACACTGGGGATGACACTGGGGGACACTGGGACAACTGGGGATACTAGACACTGGGGTACACTGGGGACACTGGGGATACTGGGGACACTGGTGGGACACTGGGGACACTGGGTGACACTGCGGGAGCACATGAGGACATACTTGGGTGACACTGGGACACTGGGGACACTGGGACGACACTGGGGACACTGGGGACACTGGGGGACACTGGGGACACTGGGACACTGGGGACACTGGGGACACTGGGGACACTGGGGACACTGGGGGACACTGGGACACTGGGGACACTGGGGACATAAGGGACACTGGGACACTGGGTGACACTGGGAGATGGGCACATGGGGACACTGACATGGGGCACTGGGACAACTGGGTGACACTGGGAGCACTGAGGACACTGGGGACACTGTGACACTGGGGAGCACTGCAACTGGGGATACTGGGATCACTGGGACACTGGGGACACTGGGGACAACTGGGTGACACTGGGGACACTGGGGACACTGGGGACACTGGGGACACTGGGGACACTGGGGGACACTGGGGACACTGGGGACACTGGGGACACTGGGGACACTGGGGACACTGGGGACACTGGGGACACTGGGGACACTGGGGACACTGGGACACTGGGGGACACTGGGACACTGGGGACACTGGGGACACTGGGGACACTGGGGACACTGGGGACACTGGGGACACTGGGGACACTGGGGACACTGGGGACACTGGGGGACACTGGGGACACTGGGGACACTGGGGACACTGGGGACACTGGGGACACTGGGGACACTGGGGGACACTGGGAGACACTGGGGACACTGGGGACACTGGGGGACACTGGGGACACTGGGGACACTGGGGGACACTGGGGACACTGGGGACACTGGGGACACTGGGGACACTGGGGACACTGGGGGACACTGGGGACACTGGGGACACTGGGGACATGGGGACACTGGGGACACTGGGGGACACTGGGACACTGGGGACAGCAGGGGCACTGGGAGGACACTGGGGACACTGGGGGACACTGGGGGACACTGGGGACACTGGGGGACACTGGGGGACACTGGGGACACTGGGGGACAGCAGGGGACATGAGGGGACACAGGGGACATACTGGGATACACCTGGGGCCAATGGGACACTGGGGACACCTGGGGATGATGGGGGACAAGGGGGACACTGGGGTGACTGGGGGCACTGCGGGACACTGGGGGCAATGGGACACACTGGGAGCACTGGGGGACAGTGGGACACACTGGGGGGCAATGGGACACACTGGGGAGCACTGGGACACACTGGGAGCACTGGGACACACTGGGGGACAGCGGGGCGCAGTGGGACACACTGGGAGCACTGGGGGACAGTGGGACACACTGGGGAGCACTGGGGGGCAATGGGACACACTGGGGAGCACTGGGGGACAGTGGGACACACTGGGGGACAGTGGGACACACTGGGGAGCACTGGGGGACAGTGAGGGTAATGGGGGACAGTGGGACACACTGGGAACACTGGGGGACAGTGGGACACACTGGGGGACAGTGGGACACACTGGGAGCAGTGGGGGACAGTGGGACACACTGGGAGGCACTGGGACACACTGGGAACACTGGGGGACAGTGGGACACACTGGGGGACAGGGTGGGTAATGGGGGACAGTGGGGCGCAGTGGGACACACTGGGAGCACTGGGGGGCAGTGGGACACACTGGGGGACAACAGGGGACACCTGTGGGACACAACTGGGTGACACTGGGACCCCCGTGGGTGACTCAGGACCCCCGTGGGTGACGCTGGAGCCCCCGTGGGTGACACTGGGACCCCCCTGGGTGACTCAGGACCCCCGTGGGCGACACTGGGACCCCGGTGGGTGACTCAGGACCCCCGTGGGTGACTCAGGACCCCCGTGGGTGACTCAGGACCCCCGTGGGTGACTCAGGACCCCCGTGGTTGCCCTCGCCCCCGCCCCTCGAGGTCCCCTCCCATTCCCCCTCCTCCCCGTGCCGTGGGTTGGGCTCCACGCGACCCGCGGGTCACGTTGCTCCTCCCGAGCCCCCACCCGAGCCCCCAAATCCCCCACCTCCCGTGGGCGGCGCTGCCACAGCCGCTGCCGGAGCCACGCGCGGAGCCGGTACCGGGGAGCAGGAGGGTCCTGGGGAGGGAACACGCGTGGGGGCCCCGGGACACGAGGGGAACAAGGGACACGGGGGACAAGGGACACGGGGGGTGCCGAGGGGTGATCACGGGGAGTCCTGGGGGGTCGGGGGACTCGCGTGGGAGGGACACAGGACACGAGGGGGACAAGGGACACCGGGGGACACAAAGGACACTGGGGGTCGCGGGGGGTCGTGGAGCAGCGGGGGGCCACGAAGGCACTTTGGGGGGCTGCGAGGGACGAGGGACATCGAGGGGCGAGGGGGAAGGGAGAGCTGCAGCTCCCCAGGGGCACCCACGCGTGTCCGCGGGCCTGGGAGGGGTCCCAGTGCCGCCCCCATCCCCAACTCCCCGTGGGAGCTCCACGGCAACGAGCGCGTCAAGGGGGCGGCGCGGACCGGGGGCGGGGGCCACCGGCACAACCCCTGCACCCTGGACCCCCCCAGGGCCCCCTCGGGACCCCCCAGGAGCCGCCATGGGCCGCCTTCCTGCTGAGCCGCGTCCTGCGTGGGACCGGAGGTGAGACCCCCACCGGACCCCCAATATCACCCGGGAGCCCCCCACCCCAGGACCCCCAGCACCACCCCCGGGGTCCTCCCTGACCTCGAGACCCCAGGGTCCCCCAACATCACCTCGAGGGACTCCCTCCCCAGATCCCCCCCAACCACCCCAGGGGTCGCTCCACTTCCTGGGGTCCCCACAGCCTCCCCGTCGTCACCTGCCCCCGAGACCTCCCAGGACCCACCCACGACCCCCAGCATCACCGCGGGGTCCTCCCGCACCTGGGACCCCCAGGACCCCAAACATCCCCTCCCTGTCCCCTCCCCTGACTCTGTCCCCTCCGTCCCTCTCTGTCCCCTCTTTCCCGCTGTCTCCCCTTCCCTCTGTCCCTCTCTGTCCCCCTGTCCCCCCGTGTCCCCTCCTGTCCCCCGTGTCCCCTCCTGTCCCCTCTGTCCCCTCCCTGCCCCCCCTGTCCCCTCCCTGTCCCCTCTGTCCCCTCCCTGTCGCCTCCGTGTCCCCCCCGTGTCCCCTCCTTGTCCCCTCCCTGTCCCCCGTGTACCCTCCCTGTCCCCCGTGTCCCCTCCTGTCCCCCTCCCTGTCCCCCTGTCCCCCCGTGTCCCCCGTCCCCTCCCCTGTCCCCCGTGTCCCCTCCCTGTCCCCCCGTGTCCCCCCCTGTCCCCCGTGTCCCCTCCTCTGTCCCCCCGTGTCCCCTCCTGTCCCTCCCGTGTCCCCCCGTGTCCCCCTGTCCCCCGTGTCCCCTCCTTGTCTCCCCTGTCCCCCCGTCCCTCCCTGTCCCCCCATGTCCCCTCCCCGTCCCCTCCCCTGATCCCCTTCCTGTCCCCTGTGTCCCCTCCCTGTCCCCTCCCTGTCCCCTCCCTGTCCCCCCCATGTCCCCTCCCCTGTCCCCGTGTCCCCTCCCTGTCCCCCTGTCCCCTTCCTGTCCCCCCGTGTCCCCTCCCTGTCCCCCAGTGTCCCCTCCTGTCCCCTCCCTGTCCCCCCTGTGTCCCCTCCCTGTCCCCCCGTGTCCCCCTCCTGTCCCCTCCCTGTCCCCCGGTGTCCCCTCCTGTCCCCTCCCTGTCCCCTCCCTGTCCCCCGTGTCCCCCGTGTCCCCTCCCGTCCCTCCCTGTCCCCCCCTGTCCCCTCCCTGTCCCCTCCTTGTCCCCCCTGTCCCCCGTGTCCCTCCGTGTCCCCCTGTCCCCCGTGTCCCCTCTGTCCCCCGTGTCCCCCCTGTGTCCCCTCCCTGTCCCCCTGTGTCCCCTCCTGTCCCTCTGTCCCCCATCCCCTCCCTGTCCTCCCTGTCCCCTCCCTGTCCCCCCGTGTCCCTCCCTGTCCCCTCGTGTCCCCCAGTATCCCCGTGTCCCCAGGACCGCTCAGCCCGGGCCACCCTCCACGCGTGGCACCAGTACCGCCTCACCTGCGAGCAGCACCTGCGCCTGGCCCCGCCCTCCCCAGGTGAGCCGGGACCCCTGGGGACACCTGGGGACACTGCGGGGACACCCTGACCCCCCGCGACCCCCAGGGCCCGTCTGCAACCGCAGCTTCGACCTGTACGCGTGCTGGGGGACGGGACCCCAACAGCACCGTGACCGTGCCCTGCCCCTGGTACCTGCCCTGGCACCACCGAGGTAACGGGGGGGCTCCGGGGGCTCCGGGGGTCCCTGGGGCGCGGGGACAGCGGTGACGGCGCTGTCACAGTGCAGGGGGGTGGTCGCGCGGCGCTGCGGCCCCGACGGGCGGTGGGAGACGGACGAGAGCGGCAGGACCTGGCAGGACAACTCCCAGTGCGAGGACACGGCCCCGGAGCAGCCCCTGCAGGTGCGGTCCGGGGGACGCGGGGGACACAGCGGGGACAGAGGGGGACAGAGAGGGGGACACAGCGGGGACAGAGGGGGACACGGGGGACACAGCTGGGACAGGGGGGACAGAGGGGGATACAGCTGGGACAGAGGGGGACGCGGGGGGACACAGCGGGGACAGAGGGGGATACAGCGGGGACACGGGGGACACGAGGGGGACACGGAGGGGACACAGGGGGACAGAGGGACACAGAGGGGGGATACAGGGGGACACAGCGGGGACAGAGGGGGATACAGCGGGGACACAGGAGGGATACAGCGGGGACAAAGGGACGGGGACACAGTGGGGACAGAGGGGGTACAGCAGGGACACGGGGGGACAGTGGGGACACAGGGGGATACAGCAGGGACACGGGGACACAGGGAAACAGAGGGGGATACAGGGGGAACACAGCGGGGACACAACGGGGACAGAGGGGGACAGAGGGGGATGCAGGGGGACACAACGGGGACACGACGGGGACAGAGGGGGACAGAGGGGGGATACAGGGGGACACAGCAGGGACACAGGGGGTCACAGAGGGGAGAGGAGGGGGAAATGGGGAAAATGGGGAGAGAGGGGGAAAGGGGAGGGGCTAAGGGATGAGACGGAGGAGAGGGGGAACAAAGTGGGGACACGGGGGACAAAAAGGGGACAGAGAGGGGAAAGGGGGGGAGAGGGAGGGAGAGGGAAAGTGGGGAAACAGGGGGAAAAAGGGGGGAAAAGGGGGGGAAAGGGGGCACGGAGTTGAGGGGAGGGAGAAAGGGGGCAAAGTAGGGGACAGAGGGGGGACGCAGCCACGTTCCGTGTCACGCTGTGCCCCGTGTGTGTCACCCCGTGCCCTGTGTGACACCCCGCGGTGCCTCGTGCCTCGCTGTGCCGTGACACGCGTGTCACCCCGTGTCGTGCTGCGCCGTGTGCCGTGTGCCGTGACATGTCGTGTGTGTGTCCCCCCCCCGTGTCCCCAATGTCCCCCGTGTCCCCTCCAGCTCCAGGTGTGGCTCCTGGAGCAGTTCCGGCTCCTCTACACGGTGGGTTATTCCCTGTCCCTGGTGGCCCTGCTGGTGGCGCTGCTGCTGCTGCTGCTGCTCAGGTGGGGACACACCTGGGGGGGTCACCTGGGGGCTGTGTCACATCTGGGGGCTGTATCACACCTGGGGACTGGGACACACCTGGGGACACACCTGGGACACACCTGGAGGCTGTGCCACACCTGGGGGCTGTGTCACACCTGGGGGCTGTGTCACACCTGGGGACACACCTGGGGACTGTGTCACACCTGGGGGCTGTGTCACACCTGGGGACACACCTGGGGACTGTGTCACACCTGGGAACACACCTGGGGACACACCTGGGGACTGTGTCACACCTGGGGACACACCTGGGGATTGTGCCACACGTGGGACACACCTGGCACACACGGGGGGTGTGTGGTGGTGTCACACCTGCGTGTGCCGTCCCCTGTGGGTGCTGCTGGCCCACCTGGGCCGGGTCACGCCTGGGAGCGCCACACCCGTGTGTGTGTCACCCCCGGGCGCTGTCACCCTGGCGGTGTCACCCGTGGGGGTGTCCCCCGAGGCACTGTCCCCCCCTGCCCTCCCCTCAGGCGCCTGCGCTGCACCCGCAACCTGATCCACGCCAACCTGTTCGCGTCCTTCGCGCTCCGCGCGGGCGCCATCCTGGCCAGGGACGCGCTGCTGCCGCGGGGACACGGGGACAGCCCCGGGGACAGCCCCGGGGACACCCCCGGGGACACCCCCGGGCACAGCCCCGGCCACCCCCTGCAGCTGCTCGGGATGCAGGTGGGGACCCGCGGGCGAGGGGGGGGCACCCACGGGGTGTGTCACGCGTGTCCCCATGGGCCAGGGGGGGGTGACGGGGTGGCCTGGGGAGGTGACACGCGTGTCCCTGCGGGGAGTGACGGGGGTGGCCTGGGGGAGGTGACACGCGTGTCCCCGCGGGCCGGGGGTGACGGGGGTGGCCTGGGAGGTGACACGCGTGTCCCCATGGGCCGGGGGTGACGGGGTGGCCTGGGGAGGTGACACGCGTGTCCCCACGGGGGGGTGGAGGGGATGGCCTGGGGAGGTGACACGCGTGACCCCGCGGGGGGCTGGGGTGACGGGGATGGCCTGGGGAGGTGACACGCGTGTCCCCGCTGGGGGAGGGGGAACGGGGATGGCCTGGGGAGGTGACACGCGTGTCCCCGCGGGAGGTGGGGTGATGGGGGTGGCCTGGGGAGGTGACACGCGTGTCCCCGCGGGAGGTGGGGGACGGTGGTGGCCTGGGGAGGTGACACGCGTGTCCCCGCGGGAGGTGGGGTGACAGGGGTGGCCTGGGGAGGTGACACGCGTGTCCCCGCAGGCGGGGGGTGGGGGGGACAGGGCTGTCCCCGCGGCCCGGGGAGGTGACAGTGGTGTCCCCGCAGGCGAGCCCCGCGTGCCGCGTGGCGCAGACCCTCGCCCAGTACTGCGTGGGCGCGAACTACGCGTGGGCCACGGCCGAGGGGCTGTTCCTGCTGCGGCTCCTGCTCAGCACGTCCGGGCGCCGCTGCCTGCCCGCCTTCCTCCTCCTCGGATGGGGTGTGTCACCGGGGCCCCCCTCACCGCGTCACCCGTGCCACCCGCGACACCTCGGCACCCGTGTCGTGGTGTCACCGTGTCACCCTGTCCCCCTGACCAGGTGTCCCCGTGCTCTTCGTGGTCCCCTGGGTGGTCCTGAGGTACCTGTACGAGAATGAGGGGTGAGGCCACCTGTCCCCCCTCACCTGTCCCCTGTCCCCTCTCCTGTCCCCTCACCTGTGCCCACCTGTGCAGGTGCTGGGAGCGGAACGAGAAGCCGGAGGTTTGGTGGCTCATCCGCTGTCCCATCCTGGTGGCCGTGGCTGTGGGTGACATCGGGGAGGGGGGAGGGGTGTGATATGTCCCCCACATTGTCCCCACCCCTGCTGGGGGTCCGGAGGGGGTGTCACCGCAGGTGTCCCGGCGTGTCCTGTCCCCTCCCGCCCCCCCTCACCTGTCCCTGCAGGTGAATTTCGTGGTGTTCGTTCGCATCGTCCGGATCCTCGTGGCCAAAGTCCGGGCACACCAGGTGGCCCGGGGGGACACCCGGCTCAGGTGGGGACAGGGGGACAGGGGGACACCTGGCTCAGGTGGGGACAGGGAGGACAGGGGGGGACACCCGGCTCAGGTGCGGACAGGGGGGGACACCCGGCTCAGGTGGGGACAAGGGGGGACAGGGGGGACACCCGGCTCAGGTGGGGACAGGGGGGACAGGGGGGACACCCGGCTCAGGTGGGAACAGGGGGGAACACCCGGTTCAGGTGGGGACAGGGGGGAACACCCGGTTCAGGTGGGGACAGGGGGGGACACCGGGGACAAGGGAGGCCATCTGGGACGGGGGAGGACATTGTGGGGGGCACACAGGGGACACGCGGGACAGATGGGGACGCCCGTGCATCCCCACGTGTCCCCCGAAGTGTCCCCACGCGTCTCGGGCGGTGTCCCCGGGGTACCCCCATTGCCGGGGATGTCCTGGGGGTGTCCCCACTGCCAGGGGTGTCCCTGAGGGTGTCCCCATTGCCGGGGGTGTCCCCATTGCCGGGGGTGTCCCTGTGGGTGTCCCCACGCGTCTCGGGGGGTGTCCCCCGGGGGTGTCCCCGGGGGTGTCCCCATTGCCGGGGGTGTCCCCGGGGGTGTCCCCACTGCCAGGGGTGTCCCCGGGGGTGTCCCCATTGCCGGGGGTGTCCCGGGGGTGTCCCCACGCCCCCTCCCCGTGTCCCCCCAGGCTGGCTCGCTCGACGCTGACGCTGATCCCACTGCTGGGGGTGCACGAGGTGGTTTTTGCCCTGGCCGGGGAGGGCGAGGGGGGGGGCGGCCTGAGGCTGGCGAGGCTCTGCCTGCACCTGCTGCTCACCTCGGCCCAGGTGGGGGCCAGGGGGTCCGAGGGGGTCTGGGGGTAATGGGGGCTCTGCCTGCACCTGCTGCTCACCTCGGCCCAGGTGGGGGCCAGGGGGTCCGATGGGGTCTGGGGGCAATGGGGGCTCTGCCTGCACCTGCTGCTCACCTCGGCCCAGGTGGGGGGTCCAGGGGGTCCGAGGGGGTCTGGGGGTAATGGGGGCTCTGCCTGCACCTGCTGCTCACCTCGGCCCAGGTGGGGGCCAGGGGGTCCGATGGGGTCTGGGGGATAATGGGAGGTGATGGGAGCATCTGGGGAGGTTAACGGGGTCTGTTAGGGGTAATGGGGCACAAAGGGGGGGCAAATGGGGGGCAATGGGGGGTGAAATGGGGGGCAATTGGGGTGAAATGGGGAGGAAATGGGGGGTAAATGGGGGGCAATGAGGGACTGGAATGGGCGGGCGATGAGGGGGAATTGGGGGTCCCGGGACCCCCCCCAAATTGTCCCCGTGCCCCCCCGCAGGGTCTGGTGGTCAGTGTCCTGTACTGCTTCACCAACAAGGAGGTGCGTCCCCACACGAGGGGGTGGGACGGGGCGCAGGTCGCGATACGCCGCGATATGCTGCGATATGCCGCGATATCTCGCGCTATGTCGCAGCACCCCGGGCTATATCGCGACATGCCGCCCGCAGGTGCAGGCGGAGCTGCGCCGGGGTGGCAGCGCTGCCGAATGGGCCCCCGGAATCCCCCACCCCGCAGGGGTCCTCCGGCAGGGGCAGCGCCCGATGGCAGAGAGTGGCTGCTGAGGGGAAGGGGGGCACCTGGGGAGGCATTTTCGGGGGCACTTTGGGTCCTTGGGGGCACCTCTGGGTGCTGGGGGGGCACCTGGGCGGCATTTTTGGGTGCTGGGGGGGGAACCCACCTTTGAGTCCTTGGGGGAGAGGGGGGTCACGGGGGTCTCCACCTTTGTTCCCCAAAAATAAAAAGACCTCACGTGACACTCCCGGGTGTTGTGAAATCACTTGGCGGGGATTGGGAGATTAAGGGGCAGGGTCCTGAAGGGGCTCAGGGGGCGCCTCCCCCCAAAAAAAACCCCCCAACCTTCCCTCGGGACTACAACCCCCATCACGCCCCGCGCCGGGGCAGGGGGCGAACTACAACTCCCGTGGGGCGCCGCGCGGCGCGTGCGCGGCTAGGAAGCAGGCGGGCGCGCAGGCGCGCGGGGCAACCCCGGAAGCGGCGGGAGAGGCGGAGCGGCCGCGCCCGGCACTGCCCGGTGAGCGGGGGAGGGGCGGCGGCACCGCCCGGGGGGGCCCGCCCGGACCGGGGGAAGCTCCGGGGGACGCCCCGGGGAGCGGCAGCACCCCGGGAACGGCCGCGGGGCCTAAAGGAGCGGGGGGGGCGAGGGCCGGCGGGGGTCCCGGTGAGGCACCGGGGGCGCCGGGTGGGTCTGGGGGTGTCCTCGCGGTTTTCCCCGGTTGGGGGTGACACCGTGCGATCCCCGCCGTGGGCGGAGGCCCCACCTAGAACCCCTCCGGGAGCCCCCCGGGACCCCCCCCGGGCCCACGCGGGGCCGGGACGGCGGCGGGGGGCGGGGCCAGAGCGCTCGGAGCACGCCCCTTTTCGGCGAGGCCACACCCCTTTCTCCGTCCAGGCCACGCCCCTCCCCGAGGCGCCGCCGTCCATATATGGGCATGGCCCGAGCGGCGCGCGCTGATTGGTCAGGCCGGGCGCGCGCGGGGAGGGGCGGGGCGTGGGGGGCGGGACCAAGGGTGGAGGGGCGGTGATTAAGCTGTGTGGGCGGGGCTTTGAGGGTGAAGAGGCGGGGCTTAGGACCACCCCAAAGTGACCCCAAAACTGTTGTAAGTGACCTCAAAACCCTCCTGAGTGACCCCAAAACTCCCACAAGTGACCCCAAAGGGTCCCCTGAAATGTCCTCAAAAGCCTCGTCAAGTGTCCCCAAAAGCTCTCTATAATTGTCCCCAAGGGTCACAGAAGTGTCCCCAGAGAGCCTGCTGGGGTGTCTGGGGGTCTCATGAGAGTCCCCACAGGGTCCCCTGAATGTCCCCATAGGCCTTTTAGGGCCCCATAAGTGTCCCTAGGAGTCCCATAAGTGTCCCCCAAAGCCCTGTAAGTGACCCCAAAGGCCCCATAACTGTCCCCGCTGTCTCTCCACAGGCCCGGGCGGCCCCGTCGGTGTCACCGTGACCCCTCACCGGCAGCGCCCCCTCCCAGCAGTGCCCCTTCCCCGGGCCGTGCCCCCTCCCCGTCGGTGCCATGCGGGGCTGATGGAGCCCAACGCGTTCCCGCAGCTCCAGCTCTGGTGCCCGCGGCCCTTCGGCACCTTCTCCCAGAACAAACCATGCGCCCCCTCCCCGTCTGGACCCCCACCCCTCCCACCGCCGCCGGAGCCCCGAAAACCCGCCCTGGGCGGCCGCCCTCCGAGAACACCCCCGGACCCCCTGCCGAGGCCCAGCCCGGCGCCCCGGCGCCCCGAGGACGGGCGGGTGCTGCTGGACACCTGGTACGTCATCAAGCCCGGCAACACCAAGGAGAAGGTGGCGTTTTTCGTGGCCCACCAGTGCGGCACCGGCGGCGCCGGCGGCACCGCGGGCGGCGGCCGCGCCAGCACCATGAAGGTCAAGGGCAACTGGGGCAGCGGCAGCTCCAAGGCCAAGCGGCGCCGGCGCTGCCACGACCCCCGCGTGGGGGGCGCCGGTGACCCCCCCCGGGACGCCGAGGACAGCGCCGGGGGCGCCGGGGACGCCGGGGACGGGCAGGACCTGCTGTCGGTGGCGGAGATGGTGGCACTGGTGGAGCGGCGCGCGGCGCTGGCCCTGCAGAGCCTGCCCCGGCCCTGCGGCGGTGCCGCCCCGGCCCCGCTGGTGCTGCTGGAGGCGCCGGGAGGCCCCGAGTGCCGGCGCGTGGCGGCCGCCGTGGCGCAGTTCGAGTCCCAGCAGCAGCAGTGCCGGGAGCGCCACCGGGACCAGCCAGGGGCGCGGCCCAACGGGCTGTGCCGGGCCGGGGGGTCCGAGTGCCCCCCGAACAGCGCCGACACCGCGGCGGCGCCGGGCGAGGTGCGAATCGCCTTCCGCATCTCCAGCGGGCGCGAGGCCGCCGGGGCGGCCCCCGGGGCGGCCCCCGGGGCGGCGGCGGAGCACCACGGCGCCAAGGACCAGATCACCTGCGACCTGTACCGGCTGGTGAGCCCCAACCGCGCCGGCGTGGGGCTGCTCCTGGCGGCCGCGGGCGCCAAAGCCGGCGGGGACGGCGCCGGAGACGGTGGTGGCGGTGACGAGGCGTCGCTGCGAGGAGCCGTGGCCCCGGAGCCCGGCGAGGGCGGCGGCGCGGAGGGGACGGTGCCGGCGCGCGACTGCGCCTCGGGCTTCCACGTGGACGTGGTGGTGACGGGCGTGGTGGACCAGTGCGTGTTCTTCGGCAAGGACAGCGCCAAGCAGGTGACGGAGGAGACCGTGCGGCTGCCGGACGAGCCGCCGCCGCCGGGCAAGCTGTTCCTGCTGCCCGGCCCCGAGGAGCCGCCCAGCGGCGCCGCCCCGGGCGCCGAGCCCGGCGGGGACCCCGCGCTGTGCCGGCTGTACCGCCACGTGTCCCACGACTTCCTGGAGATCCGCTTCAAGATCCAGCGGCTGCTGGAGCCGCGGCAGTACATGCTGCTGCTGCCCGAGCACGTCATGGTGAAGATCTTCAGCTACCTGCCCACCCAGGCGCTCGCCGCCCTCAAGTGCTCCTGCCACTACTTCAAGTCCATCATCGAGACCTTCGGCGTGCAGGCCACGGACTCGCGGTGGAACCGGGACCCCCTGTACCGGGACGACCCCTGCAAGCAGTGCAAGAAGCGCTACGAGCGCGGGGACGTGTCGCTGTGCCGCTGGCACCCCAAGCCCTACCACCACGACCTGCCCTACGGCCGCTCCTACTGGATGTGCTGCCGCCGGCCCGACCGCGACGCGCCGGGGTGCCGGACGGGGCTCCACGACAACAACTGGGTGCACCCCGCGGGCAGGAGGGAGGAGGGCAGGTGAAGGACGGACGGACGGACGGATGGACACGCGGATGGACGGCTGGGGGGCGTGGGGTGGGGTGGGGTGGGGGCCAGGGGGACGTGGTGGTCTGGTGTGGTGACCACCAGGAAGGGCTGAGGAGGAAAAAAAGAAAAAGGAAAAAACGGTGAAAATGTGGAGGTGTAGAAGGGGAGGGGTAGAGGGGAGGGGAGGGGGGCGTCCCCACAGAGGAGGAAGGGGACAACTCAATGGCAATGACCCTGGTGGGCTGGTAGCCCCAGGGAGGACAGTGTCCCCATGAGGGTGTGTCCCCAACGAGGACAGTGGGGACAACCCAGTGGTGATGGCCCCAGTGGGCTGGTGGCCCTCTGGAGGACATTGTCCCCAGTGAGGGGAGTGTCCCCACAGTGAGGTCAGCCCAAAGGTCATGACCCCAGTGGGCTGGTGGCCCCAAAGAGGGGGGGTGGCTCCTCGGAGGACAATGGTGACAACCTCGCAGTGATGACCCCAGCTGGGCTGGTGGGTCTGTCCTGGGTCCCCCCACACCCCCTTCGTTGTCCTGGTGTCTGCCCCAATGTCTCCATGTCTGTCCCGTGTCCCCCCACACGCCGTGTCCCATTGTCCCCATGTCCGTTTCGTTCTCCCCGTGACCCCATGTCTGTCCCGTTGTCCCCGTGTCCGTTTCGGTTCCCCCGTTCTCCCCGTGTCTGTCCTGTTGTCCCCGTGTCCGTTGCGTTCTCCCCGTGTTCCCGTGTCTGTCCCGTTGTCCCCGTGTCTGTCCCGTTGTCCCCGTGTCCATTTCGGTCCCCCCGTTCTCCCCGTGTCTGTCCTGTTGTCCCCGTGTCTGTCCTGTTGTCCCCGTGTCCGTTTCGTTCTCCCCGTGTCCCCCTGTGTGTCCCATTGTCCCCGTGTCTGTCCCGTTATCCCCGTGTCCGTTTTGGCCCCCCCGTTCTCCCCGTGTCCCCCTGTCTGTCCCGTTGTCCCCGTGTCTGTCCCGTTGTCCCCGTGTCCGTTTTGGCCCCCCCGTTCTCCCCGTGTCCCCGTGTCTGTCCCGTTGTCCCCGTGTCCGTCCCGGTCCCTCCTTCCCGCCACCGCCTGTGGGCGTGGCCTGCGCATCAAGCCCCGCCCCTCCGCTCGGGCCTCCCTCCGGCCCCGCCGTTTCCCGCCGAGGCCCCGCCCCTGCTGAGGCCCCGCCCCTGCTGAGGCCCCGCCCCCGCCATGCGCCAGGTCCCCTCCGGGTCCCGCCGCCCCCGGGCCGCGGGTTCGAGTCCCGGTCCCGGCCCGGGGCCGCTCCCGGGGTCTGTCCCGGCCCGGGGGTCGCGCTCGGGGCCGCTCCCAGTGCCGGGGCCGCTCCTGGGGCTCCTGCCGAGCCTCCCCCGCGCGGCGCGGCCGCTGCTGCCGCTGCTGCTCTTGTTGTTCTTGGCCACCGCCTCCTTCCTGTTCATCGCTTGGCCCGCCCAGAAACCCGTCCCGGTGAGTCGGGGGGGTTTAACGGGACCCCCGTGGGGACCCCTGTGGTGCTGATGGTTCCCCCCGCTACTCCAGCATCAGGCGGTCCCCCCCGGCCCCCCCTCGGAGCAGGAGCTGCGGACGCTCCTGGCCCGCCTGGACCCCCCCCGGCTCTGGGGGACCTTCCTGCGGCCCCTCCTAAGGGAGAGGGTCCCGGGGGGGCCCGGCAGCCGCGCCGCCAGGCAGGTAAGAGCCCCGCCTCCCAGGACCCCTGAGTCGTGATGGGGGTCCCTCTCCCCGACCTCCCTTAACTCCTCACCCAGACTCCCCAAAGCCCCCAGACCCACCTCAGTTGTCCCCCCACCCTGACAGGGGTCCCTGAGTCCCCCAGACACTCCAAAACCCCCCAGATCCCCCTCAGGTATCTGACAGACCCCCCACCATGTCCCCCCAGACCCCCCTAAACTCCCTCCAGACCCCCCTGAGTGCCCTCAGGTGCCCCCTCAGGTGCCATCCCTGATAGGGATCCCAGTCCCCCTCAGCAGACCCCCCTAAACGCCCCCAGCCCCCCTGAGGTGCCTGACGGGGGTCTCTGTGTCCCCCCAGCACATCGTGGCCCAGCTGGGGTCCCTGGGGGCCGGGTGGCACGTGGAGCTGGACACGTTCTCCGCCCCCACACCCCGGGGCAGGGTCACCTTCTCCAACGTGGTGGCCACGGTGGCCCCCAGGGCCCCGAAAAGGCTGGTCCTGGCCTGTCACTACGACACCAAGGTGGTCCCTGGGGGCCCCTTCGTGGGGGCCACGGACGCGGCCGTGCCCTGCGCCCTCCTGCTCGAGGTGGCAGCAGCCCTGGACCCCCTCCTGGGGGGAGCCAAGGACAAGGTGAGGGGTCCTGGGGGGTCCTGAGGGGCACCTGGGGGTCCTGGACCCCCTGCTGGGGGGGAAAAGGACAAGGTGAGGGGTCCTGGGAGCATTGGGACTGGGGGGCTGGGGTGGCCCCTTCGGTCCCTTGAGGACACCGGGTCCCTTGAGGACACTTTAGGGACCCGTGGGACGTTTTGGGTTCCCTGAGGACATTCTGGGTTCCCTGAGGCCGTTTTGGGGTCCCCAGGAGGCGCCAGTGACGCTGCAGCTCCTGTTCCTGGACGGGGAGGAGGCGTTCGGGGAATGGAGCGACTCCGACTCCCTGTACGGAGCCCGGCACCTGGCCCAGAGGATGGAGGGGAGGGGACACGGGCCAGGAGGGACAGAGATCACTGCCATGGTCAGTGGGACACGGGGGGACACAGGGGTCAGGGGGGTCAGGGGTCACTGCCATGGTCAGTGGGACACCGGGGGACACGCTGTCCCTGTCCCCATGGCCCTGTCCTCATGGCCATGTCACTGTCCCCATGTCCCCCCTGCCTGTCCCCAGAGCCTGCTGGTGTTACTGGACCTGCTGGGAGCCCCCCACCCCTCCATCCACAGCCACTTCCCCCAGACCCACCACTGGTTCCTGCAGCTCGTCAGCATCGGTGGGGCTGGGGGGGGACACCAGAGGGGAACATGGGGGGAAATGGGGACAATGGGGGACAGGGGGACATGGGGGGATATGGGGGACACGGGGGGACAGGGATGGGGACAAGAGAAGGGATGGGGCCAAACGGAGGGGACAGGGATGGGAGGGACATGGGGGGAATTGGGGGACGGGGGGCACAGGGACAAGGAGGACACAGAGGGACAGAGCGGGGATGAGGGGACATGGTGGGGCATTGAGGGACTGGGGGGACATGGGGGGACAGGGAGGGACACAGAGGGACAGAGCAGGGATGGGGGGACATGGACGGGACACAGGGACAGGGGTGGGGACAAGGGAGGGGACAGTGCTGGGCGGGACGTGGAGGTGTCCCTCCCCGTGTCCCTCCCCGTGTCCCCACTGTCCCCCAGAGCAGCGGCTGCGTCGCCTGGGGCTGCTCCACGCGGCCCCCGGACCCCCATTCTTCCGGCTCAGCCCCCGGGGCCCGTGGAGGACGATCACGTCCCGTTCCTGCGGCGGGGTCAGTGACCCCCTCTGGGACCCCCGTGCCCATTTCCCACCCCTGTCCCCCATCCCCGGGGGTTCCCTGTTCTGACCCCCCGTGTTTTCTGCCCCCAGGGGTCCCGGTTCTCCACCTGATCCCCACCCCCTTCCCGGGGGTCTGGCACACCCCGGGGGACACCGAGGCCAACCTGGACCCCCCCACGGTGCAGGACCTGGCCAAGATCCTGCTGCTCTTCGTGGCCGAGTTCCTGCAGCTCTGAGACCCCACTGGACCCCCGGCGTGCGGGGGGCAGGGACGCCCCCGAACCCTCCAATGAAAGAACAAAAACACCCAAACCCACCCGTTTATTGCCGGGGGGGGCTCGGATTGGGGTTGGTTTTCCCCCTCGCTGTGGCTTGGAGGGTCCACTGGGATGTGGTCCCTCCAGGATCCACTGGGATCCACTGGGATCTGGGATTCCCTGGGATCGGGGTCTTCCCTTGCCCCCCAGACCCCGTGGGATCCACTGGGGGGGTCTGTGGGGGAGTCCTGGGTGGGTCCATCCCTGGGGGGGCGTCACACCTGGGGGGGAGCCAAAGGAAGGGTTAAAGGAAGGGGATTGTGGGGGAATGGGGGTCTCGGAGGGGGGTTTGGGGGCCCCAGGGTCTCACCCGCGTGGCCGAGGCGCGTTGGGGCCGTCGCTCCGTCCCGGGGGGGCTCAGCCGGGGCGTCCCCCCCGTGTCCCCCATGGTCCTGCTGCCAAAACCCCCAGTGAGGCCCCCAGAAACCCTCAGAGACCCCAAAACCGCCCAAGTCCCATCCCATAACCCCCAAGGAGACCCCACCCACACCCATAAAGCCCCACTGAGACCCCCAAACCACCCCAGACAACCCCCCATCACCATCCTGGAGACCCCCAAACCCTCTGAGCCCCCGAACCTCACCTGCCCCCCAGCAAGACCAGTGGGACCCCCAGCACCCCAAAGTCCGCTCGAATCTCACCTGCCCGCCCCCAAACCCACCCGGAGCCCCCAAGCCTCACCTGCCCCCAGCACCCCAAAGTCCGCTCGAATCTCACCTGCCCACCCCCAAACCCACCCGGAGCCCCCAAGCCTCACCTGCCCCCAGCCCCCAAAGTCCGCTCGAATCTCTCCTGCCTGCCCCCAAACCCACCCGGAGCCCCCAAAAGCCTCACCTGCCCGCCCCCGCCTCCTCCTGGCCACCGCCAGCCCCACGCCCGGCCCCAGCAGCACCAGGGGAGGGCGCAGAGCGCGAGGGGCGGGGGTCCCTGCCGGGCCAGGGGGTCCCAGGGCGCCCCACCTCCTCCTCGCAGAGCACGCCCATGAAGCCGGGGGGGCAGGAGCAGACGGGGCCCGAGAAGTGGGTGTAGCAGGTGCCCCCGTGGGCGCAGGGGTTGGGGGCGCAGCCCCCCGAGCGGCGGCGGCAGCGGGGACCCCCGAAGCCCAGGGTGCAGGAGCAGGTGAAGGAGTTGGGGCCGTCCTGGCACGTCCCCCCGTGCGCGCAGGGGTTGGGCGAGCAGTCGTCCGCGTTGTGCTGGCACCGGCGCCCCGAAAAGCCCGGCGGGCAGCGGCACAGCGGGGCCAGACCCTGCGAGTCCCGGCACTGACCGCCTTGGGGGAAAGAGGGGATATGGGGGGAAAGGGGATGGGGGAAATGAGGGATGTGGGGGAAAGGGATATGGGGGGGAAGAAAGGGGATATGGGGGGAGAAAGGGGGATATGGGGGGAAAAGGGGGATATGGGGAGGGAAAAAGGGGGATATGGGGGAAAAAAAGGGATATGGGGGGAAAAGGGGATATGGGGAAAGAGAAAAGGGGATATGGGGGAAAAAAGGGATATGGGGGGAAAAAGGGGATATGAGGGAAAAGGGGATACAGGGGGTAAATGAGAGGATTGGGGAGGATATAGGGGATAGAGGGGGTATGGGGAAGTAGAAGGATATAGGGGGAATATGGGGGGATTTGGTGAGAGAAAGGGGGAAAAGGGTGGAAAGGAGAGGGAAAGGCGGGGAGGGGAAAAGGGGTGTTTAGAAGGGTCACCCCACGTTCAGGTGGTCCCAGGGGGTTCGGGGGGGGGTCTCACCGTTCAGGCAGTACTGGGGGTCGCACCGGTCCGCCCGGCGCTCGCAGTTGAAGCCCCTGAAGCCGGGGGGGCAGCGGCAGCTGTAGCCGGGGGTCTCGGGGGGGGTCCCGGGGGGTGTCCCGGGCGGGGAGGGGGCACAGGCACCGCCGTTGAAACAGGGCCCGAGGGCACAGGGGGAGGGGGGCACCTCCGGGAGGGGGAACGAGACCCCCGGGAGAGGGTCCAGGACTCCTGGGAAGGGATCCTGGACCCCCGGGAGGGAGTCTGAGACCCTCGGGGGATGATCTGGGGCCCCCAGGAAGGAATTTGGGACTGCCGGGACCCCCAGGAGACGATCTGATACCACCGGGACTGAGTCTGGGACCCCCGGCAGAGGGTCTGGGACCCCTGGGAGCGAGGACGGGACCGGTGGCACTGGGGCTTCAGGGGTCCCGGGGACCCCCCCCGGGGCCACCAAAGCCGCCGCCGGGACCCCTGGGACCCCCCCCAGTGCCGCTGCCGCCGTTCCCAGCGCCGCCACTGGTGCCACTGGTGCCACTGGTGCCGCGGGAGGGGGGTCCAGGGCCGCCCCCAGGACCCCCGGGACTCCCAGAGCCTCCAGGGCCGCCCCCGGTGCCGCCGCCACCTCCGTTACTGGTGTCACTGGTGCCACTGGTGCCCCCCCCGGGGCGGGGGTCGCGCAGCCGCCCCGGGACCCCTGTGGGGGCAGCGCCATTAATTGGGGAGGAGGGGGCCAGGGTGGATGGGGGGGGTGTCCCCGACGGTCCCGGGGATTCCTGGGGGGGTCCCAAGGTGGATTTGGGGGTCCTGGGGGTGTCCCAGGGTGGATGGGGGGGGTCCCACTCACCGAGCAGACACCCCCCTTGTTGCAGCCGCTGGGGGGGGCACAGACCCCCCGACACCCCCCTGAGTGGAGAGGAGGAAGGAGGGCATCAGGGGACCCCACAAACCCCACAGGGGGTGTGGGGCACCCTGGGTATCCCCTTTTTGGAGGGGGTTACTCACGGGGATCGCAGCAGCGGCTCCAGCAGCGTCAGGGGGCAGAGGGGGGCGCAGGGGGCCGCGGGGTGGGGGAGGGCGGCAGCGCAGGCGGGTCCCAAGCGCAGCCCCAAAACCCCCGCCAGGGCCCCCGGCCTCAGGCGCGGCCGCGACACCGCCCGACCCACGAGGCGCAGGGGGCCTGGGGGCTCGTCGCTCCGGACCTCCAGACCCCTCAGGACACCCCAGACCCCCCAAGACCCTCCAGACCCTCCCAGCTCAGTCAACCTCCCCTGACCCAATGACCCCCAAAGCCTCCACTTGTCCTCCCCTCCCCAAACCCCTTTTGTGTCCCATTTCCCCCAACAAGGACCCCCTTTCCCCCAACTCCCAAACTGCCCCCTTGACCCCAATTTACCCCCAGGGACCGCAGTTTGTACCCCCCTCCCAGACCCCATTTGCCCTGCCCTCCCCACCCCCTCCCCCAATCCCAGGACGACCCTGGGTTCCCCCAAATTCCTTCCCCGTCAAAGACCCCCTCACCCCCTTCGTTCTCCTCGAGCCTCCAGGACTCGACCACGAGGAGACGCTGCCCTGGGCGGGGGGCAAAATTTGGGGAGGGGGGTCGAGTCCTGGGCCCTCGGGGGTCCCGAGACTGCGAGGCGGGGTTGGGGGAAGCAGATTTGGGGGTGTCACATTTTGGGGAAGGGGTGTTAAATCTGGGGGGATCCTCACCGGCCAGGGAAGGCGATGGGCAGGCGAAGCAGCCGGGGGCTCCGGGGCTCGGGGGGCCCGGGGGCTCTGGGCGACCCCAGGGTGCAGCCCCTCCCGGGGGCGCAGGCACAGCCCGGAACAGGAGGCGGCACGAGGGGGGCACCCCCGCACAGGCCCCCGGGCCCCCGCACCGAAAGGACCCGCAGCTCCAGGACCCCGAGGGGCGGACCTGGGGGGGCAGGAGTGAACCCCTCCCAGAAACCCCAAAATACCCTCCTGCACCCAAAAACACCCCAGAACCCCTCAGCACCCAAAACACCCCCAGCACTCACTCCCCAGGGACCCCAAAATACTCCCAATATCCCAAATGCTCCTCCTGGAACTCCCCCTAATTCCAAGCCCCAGAGACTCCCCGAGGAGCCCCAAAATCCCCCAAGACCCCTCACCGGGGGGGCACAGCAGGAGGAGGAGGGGAGCAGCAGCAGCGTGACCATGCGGGGGAGGGTCTGGATTTTGGGGGTCCCAGCTGGTCCCAGAGCTCGGCGGGTTCTGAGACCCCGACCCCACCCCGACCCATTTCAAGGCTCAAACCCCGCCCCTCCCCATAAACCCCGCCCCCACCCCAAGGCCACGCCCCCTCATAAACACCACCAAAACCGGGGGTTCAAACCGAAAAACACCCAAAAAAAGGGGATTCAGACCCAAAAACCCCCAAAGCGGGATTTAGACCCATAAAGCACCAAAGAGCGGGATCCAGCCCCAAAATCCCATCCAAAAACAGGATCCAGTCCCCACAAACTGGAGGATTCAGCCCCCAAAGAAAGAGGAGTCAAACTCAAAATCCCTCCCCAAAAAGTGGATCCAGCCCCCAACGCCCCCTCCCAGCATTCCCAACACCGGACAGGGGTGAAGGAAAACCCCCATTCCCTCCCCAAAAACACCCCACGGCACCCCTAGGGCTCCACATTAGCCTTTATTCACCCCAAAGCGGGGTCGAGACCCCCCAAATCCCCCAGGTCCCCCAGATCCCCTCCCAGATCCCCCCAAATCCCCCCAATCCAGGCCCGGGGCTCCAGCAGCCGGGGGATGGAGGGGGTGCTCCGGCATTCCTGTGAATTTTGGGGGAGGGCGGGCAGATAAAAGGGCGGGGGGGGATTTCCTGGGTGCCCCCCCATCCGATGACATCACAATGACATCACAATGACGTCACAGGTGACGTCACTGCTGCTTGGAGCGCGGCCAAATCCTCCCGGTGAGGGACCCCAGGAAGACCCCAGGGGGCTTCTTGCCCTGGGCCAGCTCGGCCCGGCGCTGCTGCTCCTCCTGGGGGAGGGGGGGGCAAATTTAGGGTCAGGGAGGGACCCCCAAATGTCCCCTTAATCCCCCAGGTGCCTTCCTTCCCCCCGCCCCAACCCACCAGCGGCTCCTCCTCCAGTGCCCGGATTTTGGGGTGAATCCCCCAGTTTTGGGTCATGGAGGGTCCCAACCCCCTGGACCCCCCAAACCTCCTCGAGGAGGGTCCTGCGCCGCTGGAAAGCTGCCAAAGGATCCTCCTCCAGGGCGTAGTTGGCCAGAACCGTCCGCACGTCCTCGACCCCGCTCAGGGCGATGGCTGGGGGGGAAAGGGGAGGAATTTGGGGACATGGGGCCGGTGGGGGACATGGATTTAGTGGGGGGGATAAAGGAATTTTGGGGACTGTGGGATTCGGAGTTGGGGGTTGATACACACAGGATTTGGGTCGGTTTTGACAGATTTGGGGTGCGTTTCAGGGGGTATTTCGGGGTGGGGTTTCTTGGGACCTGGGGGGGTCTTTGAGCGGGTCAGGTGTATTTTGGGCAGCTCAGGTGTGTTTTGGGCAGGTTGGGTGTATTTTGGGCGGGGTCTCGGGGGGCATTTCTGGCGCTATTTCTGTGGGGTTTCGGGGCAGTTTTGGGGCGCTCCCGGGGCGGGGATTTTTGGGGATCTGGGGCTGTCACACCACCCACTCTTGAGGAAGGCGGCCAGGTCGTAGAGGGCCCTGTCCTCGGAGGCCCCGTCCCAGCGGGGCAGCCCCAGCCCGTTGTGGGGCTGCAGCCGGAACGACTCCCGCCTGCAATCCACGACCACCACGCGCGCGGGGTCCCTGTTCAGGCACGAGATGTCCTGGGGGGAAAGGGGGGGGTCAGAACCGCGGGATCGCCCCCCAGGAAGGGGCCAGGGGAACCCCCCAAAGCCCACCTTGACGTGGTGCCCCTCCATGTAGCGCGTGGCGTCGCGGAACAGCCGGTAGGACACGAAGCCGTGGGGGTCGATGCTGTCAATGAGGGGGAAGGCTGTCTGGGGAGGGGGGTGGGGAGGAGCGGGGTCAGGAGGTCAGGACCCACTGGAAAAACCCCCCCTTAGAACCTGAGACCCCAAGAGCTCTGAAACACCCCAAAAACCAGCTCCAAACCGGCCTGAAATCCGACCCAAAACACCACAGAACCACCCTGAAACCCTCAAAATGCACCCAAACCCCTCCAAAAAACATCAAAACCCCCACCAACCCCCCAAGCCCCAAATCTGAGACCCCAGGAGCTCTGAAGCCTCCCCCAAAACCAGCCCCAAAACCAACCCCAAAACCACCCCAAAAGCCTTAAAAAGCCCCTGAAAGGCCCCCTGACCATGCCGGTCTCAGAGGTGAACACGACGATCTCGTAGAGCGGCGCCAGCTGCTGCAGAAGGTGCTCGATGCCCGGGCGCTTCTTGAACCTCCAGCCCGTCACCAGCTGCATTTCAGGGGGAAATCAGAGAGTTTTGGAACAGCTAGGGAAGTTTTGTGGGGTTTGGAAGGGTTTTGGAGGGGTTTGGGTGAGGGTTGGGGCATTTCTGGTGGATTTCAAGGGAGGGATCTGGGTTTTTTTTGGGGGAGGGAAATTGAAAGAAGTTCAAGGATGATTTTTTTCAGGAAGCTGAGAGATTTTGGGGTTCCTTTGGGAGTTTCAAAGGGTTTCAGGGTGTTTTTGGGATGTTACACTCACAGTTGAGGAAGGTGGTGAGGGCACAGATCTGGGGGAGTTTCAGTGGGTTTTGATGGGTTTTGGAAGGGATTTGGGTGAGGTTGGGTGTATTTTGGGGGGTTTTAGCGTTTTTTTCAGGAGTTTCAGGCTATTTTTGGGGTGTCTCAGGATGTTTTTGGGGTGTCTCACGATGTTTTTGGGGCGTAGCACCCACTCTTAGGGAAGGTGCTGAGGCCCCAGAGCTCCCAGGTCTCGAGCTCAGGGGGCTTTATCTGGGTTTTGGGGGGGCTGGGCGTATTTTGGGGGGCTGGGGGGTACTCACAGACCACTCAGGGTGCAGCAGGACCCCCGTGAGCTCGATGACCAGCGTGTAGGGGGGTTGGTAATAGGGCTCCTTCAGCGGGTCCGGCAGCAGCTTCGGGCTCGTGGGCTCGATGATCATCTGGGGGCACAAAGGGGGCAGTGGGGACAGGACCCCCAAATAGACTGTGACCCCCATCGTGGGACAACGACCCCAGATGGGGACAGGGACACCGGGGGCCCCCCCCAAACCCTCCCAAAAGCCCCCCACCCACCTGCCTGTAGTCCTTGAAGTACTTGTAGGTCCGTCGGAGGTGCCGGATCCCAAAGGGGTCTGTGGGACCCCCCTGTGAGCCCCTCGTGTCCCCGGGACGGGGGACAGAGCCCCCTGTGTCCCCAGGGGACAAGCCCCGTGTCCCAGGGAGGGACAGACACCCCTGGGTGGAGAACACCCCCTCCCAGTCTAACCCAAAGCCCCCCAAACCCCCCCAGGGTCACACCGGGGTGTGAAAGGGGCCCCAAACAGACACTGAGGTGACAAACAGGGCCCTTGGGGGGTCCCCTCCCCCCCATCCCCCTCCCCAGGGATGTCACTGGGGTGTCCCCTCACCCCCAGGAGTGCCCCTGACCCCCTTATCACCCCTGTCCCCCTCCCCAGGGATGTCACCAGGGTGTCCCCCTCCCAAGGGGTCCCCTCTCCCCCTCCCTCCCTCCCCCTCCCAAAATGTCCCCTCAGTGTCCCCCTCATCACTCACCGCTGTCAAACTCATCTGGGATCTGTGGGGGGACATTGGAGACATGGGGGTCCAAAGGGACACGTGGGGACATTCTGGGGCGGGGGTGACAGTGCTGAGGGGCCACAGTGGCAGTGGGAGGGGGCACAGGACAGGGACAATTCACAGGAGGTGCCACGTCCTGTCCCCTCCCTGGGGTCGTTGTCACCCCCTGCCACCACCTTTGATGTCCCCGCGCATCCCCCTGTCCCCTCCCCACATCCCAAATGGTGCCGGAAAAAAGGGGCTTCGGGTGACAAAAGTGGCACTTCTGGGGACAAGACCCCGCCTTTTGGGGACAGAACCGCCCCCTCGGGGACAGGACGCGCCCCCAGAGACCCCCCCCTTGGTCCCCCCCATCCCCTCACCTTGGCCCCGTGCTCGTCCACCGCGTTGCTGCCTGTGCGGACATTGGGGACATCAGAGAAACACCGGGGGTCGCCGGGGGACACCGGGGGGGATGTTTTGGGGAGCACGGAAAGAGTTGGGGACATTTGGGACACGGGGAAAGGCGGGGGGGGACACGGGGGGGATCCCGGGGAGATCCCGGGGACACCGGAGGGGACACCGAGGAGGTATTTGGGACAGCAGGGGTGACCCCGCGGGGACCCACCGAACACGTAGAGCACGGCCACCCCCCCGGAGGCCGCCAGGAGCCCCCCCAGGCGCAGGGCCAGGCGCCGCAGCCCCCCCCGCCGGGGGTCCTCGTCCTCGGGGGGGCCGGGGGGGCCCTCGGACACCTGCGGGGACACAGAGGGGACAGGTGACACCCGGGGGGACACACACACAGTCCCTGCGGGGGCACAGAGGGGAGGGACGGCGACAAAGGGGAGCCCCCCACGGACACGTGGAGACCCCCGGGGACACGTGGGGACACCCAGGGAGACCCCCGAGACACCTGGGGACACCCGAGACCACCCCTGCAGACCCCCCAGACACACCCGGGTGCCCCCGGGGGTGGCCGAGGACGATCGGGGACCCCCGGGAGAGACCTGCCAGGCCCCCGAAGCCCCCCCGTGTGCCCACCTGGTGCTGCCGCAGCCGCTCCCGCAGCACGGTCGCGGTGTCGGGGCCGCTGAGGGCGCGGCGGGGGGCCGCGGGGGGTCGCGGTTGGGCGTTCCCGGGGGGTCCCTGCTGGGGGGTCCCGGGACCGAGGCGGCTCCGCCGCCCCCCGAGCACCGCGCGGGCCCCCCAGGCCACCGCCCGCCCCGCCATGGACGCCGCCATCTTGTTGTACGGCACCGCGCCGGCGCGGCCCCGGTACCCAATCAGAGCGAGACATTCTCGGGGGCACCGACCAATCAGAGGGAGGCAGAGCGGGCCGCTCGGGGGCACGGCCAATGGCGGCGCCGCTGCTCGGCCAATGGAGGCGAGAGGGGGGCGGGGCCGCGGGTGCGACGACCAATCGGGGAGAGGCGAGGGCGGAAGCGCCCAGAGCCAACAGAGGGGTTCCGAAGGGCGACCCCCAAAACCAGACCCCAAAATCCCTCTGGGACCCCTCCAAACCGGCCCCAAACCCCTCTGGGACCCCCAGACCCTCACAGAACTGGGGGAGGAGGGGCTGCACCCCCAGACCTTTATTGGACACCAAAACCTGGCTACAACAAGATGGGGGGGGCATGAAAAACAGAAGGGGGGGAGAGAAAAATGAGATCGGGGGAAATTGTGGGGGAGAGGGAGAAAATAAGATGGGGGGGGCAAAACGGGGTGGGGGGAGGGAGAGAAAATGAGGGAAAATAGGAATAAGGAAAACCAGGAAAAAAACGGGGAAAACCAGCAAGAACAGGGGAAAACGGCCAGAAAAGGGAGAAAACTGGCCAGAAAAGTGGGCGGGGGTCCCGGGGGTCTCTCAGGCCTCGAGCAGCTTCCCCAGGAAGCGCAGGTTGAGGATCTTGAGCTGCTCCTCCAGGTCCATCCGCACGATGCCGTCCTCGCCGTCGATGCTCAGCAGGATCCCCGTGGCCTCCCGGTCCTCCCCCAGGATCACCTTCACCTGGGGAGGGGATCCAGAGGGGCTCAGGGGGGTCTCCAGAGGGGTCTGAGGGGGTCTCTGAGGGGGGGGGTCTCACCTTGTTGCTCTTGGTGGGGGTGACGGGCTCCAGGTGTTCGCTGGACACCGAGACCACCTTCTCGCTGTCCTTCAGGTACACGGAGCACAGCCCACCCTGGGGGGGGAAACGGGGGGGCTGAGACCCCCAAATAAACCCCCGGAGCACCCACAGAGCCCTCAGAGCCCCCCCAGGGTGGGGGTCTCACCAGGACACTCCAGCTAACCCGGGCTCTGTCCCACAGCCAGGATGGACCCTCAGCCCCTGATGAAGCCTCCCAGGGTGGGGGTCTCACTGTGACACTCCCAGGACAGCCCCCCCAGCCCCTGATGAAGCCCCCCAGGCAGGGGTCTCACTGTGACACTGTGGATGACCCCGGTCTGCCCCATGGCCCAGGATAGACCCCCAGCCCCTGAAGAAGCCCCCCCAGCCCCTGATGAAGCCCCCCAGGCGGGGAGTCTCACCGTGATGCTGCGGATGACCCCGGTCTGCCCCACAGACCACGAGCCCAGGATAGACCCCAGCCCCTGATGAAGCCCCCCAGCCCCTGACAAAGCCCCCCAGCCCCTGACGAAGCCCCCCAGCCCCTGATGAAGCCCCCCAGGGTGGGGGTCTCACCGTGACGCTGCGGATGACCCCGGTCTGCCCCACGGCCTGCGAGTCCAGGTAGGAGTCCCGGACCTTCACCTGGATGTCGGTGGTCACCCAGTCGCCCGCGCTGGGCTCGATGCCCGAGCCGGGGGTGTGGGGGTTGTAGCCCCCCGGGGAGGGCGCCCCGGGGGTCATCGGGCTGTAGCCCACCGGGCTGGGGCTCGGGCTGGCCTGGGGGGGACAGGGGGGTGGTTAAAGGCAGGAGTTTGGGGACACAGAGGGGCTATGTGGGGGTGTAGGGGGCCATAAGGGGGTTTGGGGAGGCTCTGTTTTGGGGTTTGGGGACCCTGAGGAGTTTAGGGGACTTGGGGGTCCTGGGGTACCTGGTAGGGTACTGGTGGGGAACGTGGCCAGCAAGTGGGTGTTCTGGTAGTCCAGTGGGGCTGGGGGAGCTCAGGGGTGTTTGGGGCACTCAGGGTGGTCGAGGGGTTGGGGTCCTGGGAGGTTTGGGTCCCGGGGAGGTTTGGGGGTCCCCGGTTACCTGGTAGGCCATGGGGGAGGGGGTGGGGTGGTAGCTGGCCGGCGAGTGGGTGTTCTGGTAGCCCACTGGGCTCGGGGCCACCTGGTGGTAGCTCTGGGGGGAGGGGCTGGGCTGGTAGGACCCCTGTGGGGAGGGGACGGCGTAGGGCGAGAACTGCTCCGTGTTGTACCTGGGGGAGAAACCGGAGGGGGTCACACCTGGGGGGCGTTTGGGAGGGCCCAGGTTCTCCTCAGAGCCACATTTTGGGATCAGGAGCCACCCCCTCTGAGTTTTAGGGTCCCTCAGGCGCCCACAACCCATTTTGGGGTCCCCCAGAAGCCCATTTTTCCCCTGGAGTGACATTTCGGGGCCCCCCCTCCAAGAGCACTGAACCCCCTCATTGCCCCCTCCCAGATTTTGGGGTCCCCCTGCCCCCTGCAGCACTTTGGGGTTCCCCACCCCCAAAAGCATTTTGGGGTCTCCCAGCAGCCCATTTTCCCCTAGAATGACATTTTGGGTCCCCCACCCCCATATTTCGGTGTTCACCCCTACCCCCTGTTTGTGGGGTCCCCCGTTTGTCACTCACATGGCGGGGGTCCCGGGGGTCTGGGGGTTGTAGGGCTGCGTGACCTGGGGGGAGGCGGGGTCGGGGTACCCGGGGGTCTGAGGGTTGGGGGTCCCCCCGTAGCCCTGGGGGGACGGCGTGGGCTCATCCTCGAAGCCGTACTCGAAGTCCTCGTCCGCCCTGGGGCACTAGGGGGCAATGGACCCCAGAGAGGAGACCCAAATGGGACCCCCAGAGGGAGACACAAATGGGACCCCAGAGAGGGAGACACAAATGGGACCCCCCAGAGAGGGGGAGACACAAATGGGACCCCCCAGAGAGGGGGAGACACAAAACAGGGCATTTGGGGAGGGGGAGACATGAAATGGGGGGGTTGAGGAAAGGGACCCCAAAGGGAGACGGGGGTCGAGGAAGGGACCCCAAGGGAAATGGGGGTCCCACGTAGAAGAGGATTGGGGTTTCTGGGAGGGTGGAGCTTGGGGGTTTTGGGGTGGGGTCTCACCTCGAGGGGGTGTTGGGGTTGTTGGGGTCCCAGGCCCCGCTCTGGGCCGGGGTCCTGCTCCCGTCGTGCAGGGGAGTCTGTGACCCGTAGTGGGGGGTGCGGCTCCCTGGGGAGGCCACCCCAAAAATGCTGTCACCCCCACGGGCACTTCCCCTGCCCGTGGGGATCCCCCAGACCCCCATCCCCAGGGTCCCCCAGAGCCCCCTCCAAGCCCCCTGGAGCCTCCCCCGTGGTCCCAGAGCTCCCCCCGTCCTGCCCCCATTCCCAGGGTCCCCCCAGGGCCCCCCTCATCTCCACTCACCGTCGTGCAGGGGGGTCTGGGAGCCGTACATGGGGGTCCTGGACCCTGAGCCGTACATGGGGGTCTGGGAGCCGTACATGGGGGTCCTCCCGTAGGCCGACGTGAGCCCCCCGGGGCGCCGGGACCCCCTGGAGGGGAAAAGAGGGGTCAGAACCCCTGAGAGAGCCCCCTCTGTGTGGCCAGGGGGCCTCTAAGGACCCCCTGACCCAGCTGGAGCGTCTCCCAGGACCACCTTGACCCATTTGGGGGGGTCTGAGGGTCACCCCAATTCACTGAGGGGTCTCCAAGGGCCCCCACTGAGCCCCCAAGGGTCTCCCAGGACCACCCCAACCCCCTGAGGGACCTGCAAGGACCACCTCAAACCGTGGAGGGGGGTTACCCTAACCCACAGGGATGTTCCCTCCCCACGGGGGGGTCTCCCCTCCCCACAGGGGGGTCTCCCCTCCCCTCCAGGGGTCCCTGGGGGTCTCTGCCCCCCACTCACACGGTGGTGAGGCGCTGCCTGTCCACGGAGATGGTCTGGCAGGTCGAGTGCAGCTCCACGCGCGCCGTGGACTCCGTGGCGTCCTTCACCACCCCGATGTACCCTGGCGGGGCACGGGGGGCGGTCAGGGAGGGTCCCAGGGGGGTCCCAGGGGGGCTCTGGGGGGGCTCCCACACCCACCTTTGTAGGGCCCCTGCGAGATCCGCACGGTCTGCCCGATCAGGTCGTTGTCGCGCCGGCCCCGCCCGCGGCTCATCCCGCCGGCCCCAAAGCCCCCCCGCTGGCCTGGGGGGGCACAGCGAGGGTCAGGGGGCGTTCGGGGGTCCCCAGAGACCCCCAGGAGCGCCCCCAGACTCACCAGCCCCGCTGGGGTGCATCGGGCTGCTGATGCGGGGGGACATGGGGGCGAAGCCGCACACCGTGAAGTTGGTGACGTCCCGGGGCTGGGGGCGGGGAAAACGGGGTGAGGAGGGAAAAGGGGCAAAGCTGGGACAACTGGGGGTCCGGGGGAGGTCCTGCAGACCTTGGAGCCCCCGGCCAGCACCAGGTGGCGGGTCTTGCACACGAACATCCCCCCGTTCTCCACCAGCTTCTTGCAGTGCAGGAAGGCGAAGCCGCGGAAAAGGTGTCGGATCTCGCCCTCGCGGCCCTGGGGGGGGAAAAAAGACCCCAAAATGAGGGGGGTGAGGGGGAAAAAGGGGGTGAAACTCAAAAAGGGGGAGAAATGCCAAAATAAGAAAAGCAAGAAGTAAAAAGGGGTGCGTGAAACTAAAAAAAGGGCGGGACAAACCCAAAACAAGGGGGGAAACCCCAAAACAAGGGGGGGAACCCCAAAAAGGGGAGCTGGAACCCCAAAAACAGGAGGTGGAATGCCAGAAAGGAGAGATGAAACCCCAAAAACGAGGGAAAGCCACAAAGGGAGGGTAAATCCCAGAGCAAGGAGCGAACTCCAAACCAAGGGAGGGAAGTGGGGGATGATCCCAGAGACACAGACAGACCTGGGGAGCCCCAAAACACCCCAAGGAGCCCTCCCAGCCCCCCCGGTGACCCCCCCAGGACGCACGGAGTGGGGGCCATCGATGACTTTGACGATGTCCTTGACGTGGATGTTGTTCTGCTCCGAGTCCAGGGCGACGGCGAAGCGATTGTCCTTCTTCCTGGTGACGGCCTGGTGCCGCACCGTCACCACCTTCCCGTACATGTTCAGCACCTGGGGG